ACCTGCTGCGGAAGCCAGCGAAGCTTTCTGGCCCTGGCTTGGCAGGAGAGGGAAGCAGAACCACCGCCTCCTCCGTCCGTGTCCCACAGCAGCCGGGGATAACGGCCCATTTCTTCCAGAGCAGAGCAGAGCAGAGCCTCTCCCGGACCCTGCGGAGCTTTTCTCCGGTTCTGACTCCAGTGAATGGAGCCTCAGGAGAGCTCCAGGCTCGGGTGCTGGCTGGGAAGTCAGCTCCACCCCACACACAACTGCCAGAGCCTGCATTCACTTACATTCCTTCCCCTTTCCGAACAGCTGGAGAGGCCCAGGGAGGAGGGGAGCAGGGACCTTCGGGACGTGGAGTGTTGTCTTTTCTCTTCACCACCTTGGACTTCAGCAGCTCCAGCACCGAGTTCTGCCCAGGCAGAGCTGCTCCTGCAGAGAACAAATCAGCACTTTCTATTTGCAGTGCGTTCGATGGAGACGTCTCCCACCAGCAGCAGGACTTCCAGCCCAGAGACGCTGCTCGTCGGGCACTCACCGGCCTGCACTGCCCACGGAGCTGCTGCGGGGAGCTCGGAGCAGGCGCCTGGGCTGTGTCTGTGAGAGGACACTGACCACGACCGTGACGTGGCCCCGCTGCAGCAGGGGCTGTGCAGCTCTCAGCCAGGCGCTGGCCTGGAACTGCCCCCGAGGCTTCCCGACGTGTTGATTATTTGCCATATACTTGAATGTATGAGCTTATTTATTTTTTACCTGTGCATTTGCTAATGTCATTTTAATGGGGAATTTCAACCCCCAGGTACTTCCTTTTTTTTTTTTTCTAAAAAATAATCTGCCAAATGAATTAATATATTAGAAATGAATAAAGCTCGAGGGGAGGGGGTGTGCTTAATAAATATTTGTGTCGAAGCTTCAGTGACCAAGTTACTTTTCATCATTTCTGGGCCTGCAGATAGGGAATGGGGCTGGGGTGGGTGTGCTCTCTGGTGGCAGCTCTCACCGTGGGGAAGGGCTAAGACAAGGGTGTAAGCACCCACCTGCACATCCCCTTACGTGAAGATCACAGGGGCCTCTGAGGGAGCCTCTTCCCTGCCCGGCTGCGGAGGGAACACACAAAGCCCCAAGCATTCCCAGCCCAGAGCAACGGCCGAAGCCCAGGAGTCACCAGGACAACAGGGGCAGACCAAGCAGCCCTGCAGTGGCCAAGACCAGCTTTCCTCAGGCAGCTTGAGCCCTCCAGGCTCTAGGAATGCGGATGAGCTTCTCCTTTCAGGCTCCGCTCTGTCTCGGTGCCTGGGTCTTGTTTCCCCAGGGCAGCTCCCAGAGGAAAGGGGCAGTGAGTGCTGTGCAAAGCCCTGGCATCAGCCCTTGGCAAAGGTACTCACGGAGCAGCAGGCAGCAGCATGAGCTCCAGCACTGGGGTGAGCAGGTCCTTGGGATTCGCCAGGGAGTGGGTCCGGGAGCAGTAGGTTTTGGATCCTGAGCCCTGTGGGGATAAAACCAAGTCACAGCTGCTCTTCCCATGCACGGTAACTGGTGCTGCCAAAGTCCTGACCAAAGATCATTGAAGAGCCACCAGCCCCTTCTCACCAGGTGCCAGGACATGAGCACCTCTGTGCTGGGAGTCTGTGTGTGACCATGTCCCCAGTACACAAAGGAGGGAGGCTGAGCATCCCCAGAACAAATCCCTGTGGGTGTCCCACACCAGGCCCCCCATCCCACACTGCCAAGGCACCCACAGAGCTTGGGCCCACACAGGGATGAGCTCTCCTGTGCTGACATCCCCCCCAAGAGATGCAGGACTCTTGGAGCCCACGCAGGGCTAACATGGCCACCTGCCTGGAGCTGCAGCTGTAAAGTGCGAGTTACGCAGCGCAGGGTCCCTGGTGCAGGGCTGGAGGTGAAGAGGAGCTCAAAACACAGCAGATTCCAGCAGAAAACAGCTCCTGCTCTCTGGTACGCAGCTGTTCCCAGGCCCCAGGGGGCTCTGGTGATACACGGCTGATGTCAGGCCTGTGGGGGTTTTGCATTGCTCATCTGCCAAGTCACGTCAGGGCTGAGTCCCTGCGCTTACCTCAGCCTTCCCCAGAGCCTCGTGCTGCTGCTTGGGCCACCGTTGAGCTCCATTTCACTGCAGGGGCTCAGCCTGCAGGACGCTGGCCCCGAGCACCCAGGCACTGTAAATTCCAGCTCCCCATAGCAACCTGCTGGGACCCTGCCTGCAGGACACAGCCATGGGCTAAGTTAACTCCTGCATGGCTCTGCAGGCAGCCCAGCCCAGGGGCCTGCACTACAGCAGGACCTGGAGGCCCAGAACTCGCCTGTATTAGAGCCTGTGCAGGCAGCACAACTAAGTGGTGATTCATTCCAGAGCCTCAGGACCCCTCCTCACTGCACTGATGCTACAGAAGACACATACCTGCCCCATCGCTGTCAGCCAGGCAGCAAATCCCTGCAGCAGCTCCCACGTGGCTCCTCGGTGCAGCCGAGCCCCCGCAGCACAGCAAGCGTGGCAGTTCATTGCTGCTGGCTCTGTGCAGGGCAGCAGAAAGCAGAGGGGGTTATGGCAGACAGCCCCAGATAAGGAGGGTCTGCAGCCCACCCCCCAGCACCCCCAGGCTGGGCCTGGCACAGGCCTGCCCTCAGCAAGTCCCACAGAGCCCCCATCGCACCCCCTTTCACCAAACACCACTGCCTGCAGGGCCTGGGCCACACCACCAGTAACCACCAGCAGCCCCAGCAGCGTCAGACACAACCCATCAGAGTCCCGCACTGGCCCGATTGACTCTGGGATCTGGCTGCATTGCAAAAGGAAGGAAGGTCTGCTCTGCGGCAGAAAACAGGAGGCAAAGTAGTTGGTATTTCACAGAAAAGCCCCATGGGACAGGATTCAGGCTCCATCCCTTAGGAGCCAGTGAAATGCTCCAAGGAACCTGCAAACACTTCACGTTTGCTGCTCACCCTGTGGACGCCACTTTGTGCCCCTTGAAGTCACCTCTTTCCACACCACAAAGACTCACCTGGCTCATTTCACCGTGAGTCACTCCCCTGCCCCGCAGCACCAGGCCTTCCTCTTGACTTCCTCCCATCTTGACACAGCTCCATGTCAGGAGAAAGGCTCCTCTTCTCTCTGCTCCCTAAAGCCCGGCCTGCTGGGTTGCGCTGAACCAAAGCGAGCTCTCCCGGGGCCTCTTCCAGACCAGAGCCACCTCCCCACGACACAAAACCCACTTCCAAAGGCAGCACAAAAGTGTTTTACCTGCAACCTATGAGCCCCAAATCCTTCTGTGTTCTATGCAAATTCCCTCACACAACTGCAGCCCTCACGCCTCCAGCTGAAAGCCCATGAGCAGCACCATTAAACAGCAAACCCTAACCCCACCTTTCCAAAGCTGGGGCACAGGAACAGGTCAGAGAGGTAAAGGAAAGCAACATTAAAGGGTCAGGTTGTAAATTAACTGTCTCCAAGGCAACCCTGCTCCTGCCAGGGCTGCTCTGTGCCACCCAGCAAAGCAGCAGCACAATGCTGATCTTCAGGGAAAAGGTGATGATACAACCCCCCTGCCAGCAGAGAGCAAACACACACAGGGAGTGAGAGCCCAGCCCTGAGCCGAGGTGCAAGCCTCTGTTTAACTGACCCAACACCAAGTTGCTCCAGAGCTCTGTGTTTCCCCAGGATCTGAGCACACACAAGCAGCTGACAGATGAAGATCCTGCCCCTCAGCGCTGCTTCATCACCCTGAACTTCCATACAACAGGAACACAGCTGATCCGTGCCTATAATGCAACACATATGAAATTACCAGGAACACTTCAGATGAAGTAAACCCATTAACACCTGCAATGCCCTCACTGAATCCTTGGCTGATTAAGGACCACACTGAATCCTTGGCTGATTAAGGACCACACTGAATCCTTGCACCTGGATGTGCTTGACTGAAACAAGGGGGTTTGTTCAGCCCAGAGACACAATGGCCATGAGTGATTTTAGTACTTTTATAGCTTGTTGTTAACAAGGGCAGAGAGAACAGAGACAGGGTCTGATGCCAGCCAAAACACAGGGAATTTCAGTTACTGGCCAAATACCAGGAGTCCAAAGAGGTGGTGGGATCTGTATCCTCAGAGATATTCAAGACAAGACCCTGAGCATCCTCCTCTGTACAGGGGGTTGGCCTAGAAACCTCCAGAGGTCACTTCCAACCAGAATTACTCTTTGATTGCAAGTTTAAAACCACAGAAAGCAGCTACTTCACTGTGCTTCATGCTAATGGGCCTCAAGAGCAGTTAAACTTCCATGCAGGCAGAGGAAGCAAAGCACAGTGTGCTCACCTCCTGCCTGATTCATCGCTACCTGAGTGCTACATGCTGCTAAGCTCCTACATTGTTCATTTATCACAGCATTATTTTTTCTTCTAGCTGATTTTAACATGCAGCAGCAGCGTTAATAAGCTCAATAACTGTCAAGTAACTCTTCAGACAACTTTCTGGGTGCTCTACTTATCTCCAACGTGCTTCAAGAAACATTAATCTTGCCTTCACGCCCACCCTCCCCCTCAGCAACACGGAATTGCATAACCCAGCACCGGGGCCGCTCATCTCCGAGTGGGAACCCCGAGCAGGGGGGCAGCGGAGCAGAGCCCTGGAGGATGGCGAGGGAAGGAGAAGAGCAGCACCCAGCACTGATCTGAGCCTCCTGCGGGGTCAGTCTGGCCCTGCCAGCACACACAGGGTCAGGCCCATCTCCTCAGGTGATACCAATTGTCTCTTCTGCTCATCAGCTCTGCAGAAGCACCTGGGCAAGGCCAGGAGCCATGGCTGAAGCCTCCAGCCCCAGCTGCACCTCCTTAGGCTAAAACACCCAGACAAGAGGCTCCCTTCTCAGCAGAGAACACAGCTCCTGCCTCTGCTGAAGCACCAAGGCCTGAGTGAAATCAGCAAAACAAGTACCAGGACAAACATCCAGACCCCATCTCTAAAACATCAGCTTGCCCAAAGGCAAAACTACACAAGACACACAATAAAGAACGACCAATCCCCCAGTTTATTAAACACAGACCACTGAAATCAAGGAATGAAGGTTAAGAGTCTCTTGCCATCAGCAGAGCACACAGGCCCCGTCTGTCAGGTCTGCCCCTTGCTGCCGATCTTGGGGGGGGCTTCCCCACCTTCTCCCTCTGTGGACTCCCCTCCGGACCCGGTCTCTGCCGAGCTCTCCAGGAGCAGCTCCAGGGCTTCCTCCCCAGCCACACGTCTCACCCGCTCCCCTTTGGCTGCCAGGATCTCCTCGATATTCCTGAACAGCGATTTGAGAACCAACAGTGACTCCACAGACAAGGCAGAGCACAGGACCACTCTTCCACACTTTGGATTTACGCTCCACAGTGCATCACACATGAGCATCACCAGGATATGAAGTCTTTGGGAAGCAGAGCAAACCACCCAAACCTTCTGGGGCTATTTTAGTCCAACAGGATCAGTGATTTAGCAGTGACAGCTAAACAGAAATTCTTAAAGGCATCTCGGGGAGTTATCACTGAAATCTGCATTGAAGTCTGCATGTCTGGAACATTTAGCCAGGGAAGCCTGGCAGTGATGTGATGAAGCCTGAGGAAGAGGAGAGCTCCATACACAGTAACCCACCTACTGGCACCAATAAGGTGCCTGCGTACCACACAGCTGCTGTTGCAGCTTTACACTGTGGCACTGGGGTCGGAACTGGATCTTTAAGTTCCTTTCCAACCCAAACCATTCCAGGATTCTACCTGGATCCTCAACAGTGATGGTGAAGATTATGGATGATAGAACCCAGTTTGATTACAGAACCCGGTTTCAGAAACTGACACAGAACTGAACCACCCAACAACCCCTCCGGTTTGCTCTGAACCACGTTTTGGAGGCGCCAAACAAAGCAGGTGTCAGCTGAGGGATGCCCTTCCCTCGCCAGACCCCACACACCTACCGCTTCCCCTGCAGGTCCGAGAACCAGCCCAGGTTGTCGGCTATGACGTGGTGGTTGCCGCAGCCCGGGCACGTCACGATCACCACGCCGTTATGGTAGGCCAGTTTGGAAATGGTTTTGGCCGATCGGGTCTGGCAGACCTGCAAAGCAAAGAGAACGTGGCTGTGAGCACCGCAACGGGGCCCTTGGCGAGGAAAACGCTTTAGTTACTTCATTAACAGGTTTCCTTCCCCCTCCCGTTACAAGGCGGTTTGTGTGACGATGCCGTGCAGCTCTGTGCTGACCTCTCCCGCACACACGGGCGATGCTTCCTCTGGAAAAGCCGTTTACCCCGGCCCGCAGCGCCCGGCGCCGACACGGCCTCTGACACCCGGCCCCGCACACACGGAGCCGGTTCCTCACACACTGACCCGGCCCCTCACACACGGACCAGGCCCTGCACACACGGAGCCGGTTCCTCACACACTGACCCGGCCCCTCACACACCGACCCGGCCCCTCACACACGGAGCCGGTTCCTCACACACGGAGCCAGTTCCTCACACACCGACCCGGCCCCGCACACACCGACCCGGCTCCTCACACACTGACCCGGCCCCGCACACACCGACCCGGTTCCTCACACACGGACCCGGGTTCACACACACGGACCCGGTTCCTCACACACGGACCCGTCCCTCACACACGGACCCGGCCCCTCACACACCGACCCGGTTCCTCACACACGGACCCGGTTCCTCACACACGGACCCGGGTTCACACACACGGACCCGGTTCCTCACACACGGACCCGTCCCTCACACACCGACCCGGCCCCTCACACACCGACCCGGTTCCTCACACACCGACCCGGTTCCTCACACACTGACCCGGCCCCTCACACACGGACCAGGCCCTGCACACACGGACCCGGGTTCACACACACGGACCCGGTTCCTCACACACGGACCCGGTTCCTCACACACGGACCCGGTTCCTCACACACGGACCCGGGTCCTCACACACGGACCCGGCCCCGCACACACCGACCCGGTTCCTCACACACGGACCCGTCCCTCACACACGGACCCGGTTCCTCACACACGGACCCGGTTCCTCACACACGGACCCGGGTGCACACACACCGACCCGGTGCCTCACACACGGACCCGGCCCCGCACACGGAGCCGGTTCACACACCGGTTCCTCGCACACGGAGCCGGTTCCTCACACACGGACCCGGTTCCTCACACACGGACCCGGGTCCTCACACACGGACCCGGTTCCTCACACACGGACCAGGCCCTGCACACACGGACCCGGTTCCTCACACACGGACCCGTCCCTCACACACGGACCCGGGTCCTCACACACGGACCCGGGTCCTCACACACCGACCCGGCCCCGCACACACCGACCCGGTTCCTCACACACGGACCCGGTTCCTCACACACGGACCCGGCCCCTCACACACACGGACCCGGCCCCTCACACACCGACCCGGCCGCTCACACACGGACCCGGTCCTCACACACGGACCCGGCCCCTCACACACGGACCCGTCCCTCACACACGGACCCGTCCCTCACACACGGACCCGGTTCCTCACACACGGACCCGTCCCTCACACACGGACCCGGTTCCTCACACACGGACCCGGTTCCTCACACACGGAGCCGGTCCCTCACACACCGCCCGGCCCAGCCCGGCCCGGCGCCGCCCACCTTGCAGGTGTACACCAGGCGATAGTGCTTGGTCCTCGGCTGCTCTGGGTCGGTGGCGGTGCAGGCCGGGCGGTGGGGCGGGCGGTGGGGCGGGCGGTGGGGCAGGCGGTGGGGCAGGGGCAGCGGCGCGGGCCAGGGCCGCCATGGAGCGGCCGCGCGGAGCAGGACTCCCAGCAACGGCCGCGCCGCGCGCTGCATGGCGCTGGCGCAGGCGCGCGGAGGGGGCGGGCACTGAGGCGGCGGCGGCCATGATGGGTAATGGCGGCGGCCATGCCCGCTACTGGCGGCAGCCATGTTGGCTAATGGCGGCGGCCATGGCGGGCGAGGGCAGGGGCTGCGCTGGGAGCAGTGCCCGTCAGAGGCTTCAATTACAAGCGCGTAATTGAAGGGGCTAACTGAGCCTGGGTTTTGGGCCCACAGAGAGTGCATCCTGGTTACTTGTGCACCACACACGTGTACCACCACTGCAGGGGTAGGAGAGAGAGCACAGCATCATTGGGGGTGGAAGGGACACCCAGGGCGGGTTACACAGGAGCGTGTCGGGGTGGGCTCACAGCGGCTCCAAGGAGGGAAATGGACAAGGGGACCTCAGCCCTAAACCCCACTGTTACAGACATTAACGTTCCACAGACGTTCCTTTATCGGGGTTAAAAGCAGTGAGTCCATGGGCACACAGACCCCGCGCCGGTCGCCTCCACGCTCAGGAGCCCTCGGTGTCGGTGTTGTCACTGCCGGTGGTGTTCTCCCAGTCGGCCTCGTGGTGCCGGCCCTTGGGTGCCCTTCGCAGCGCTCTCTTTCTGAAAGAGGTTCAGGTTTAGAAGAGGTTTTGTGCAAACGAGCGGCATCTGAGCGCACTCGGAGCTCAGGGTGGGCCAGTGCACCCAGCGCTGGCTGAACGCCAGGGTTTGCTCTCACAACCCACAGCTCTGACTGGTGGCAAAGAGACAGAACGGGTCTAAATCATGGAGACATTCTTCTTGAAGTGTGGGGTAGGGCTGATGTCCTATGCAAAGCCCGCCCTTTAATAAAAATACTGTTGTCAACAGTCATTAGGAGCACACCTCTAGCTAAAACTAGCACTAAGGTCCCTGTTTGACAAGGTTTTCATTGCTCTCATGCTCCAGAACAGCAGTGATCAGTGAAGACATCAAGCATTAGGAGAACAAGCCTTCAAACAAGAGCATCTGAACAGGATGGAGGATGGAAATCTGCCCCCATTCACTGTCATGGAGCTTGGTCCTGACTGTCAGCAGTTTGTCAGACAGTGAATGTCAGACCTTCACTCGCATGGGAGGAATCTATCAACATTATTAAACTTGCAGTTCTTTGGAACACCCTCCATTCCCTGCTGTGGAACCATCTGCACGGTCTGGAGCAAACACGATCACTGCTACCTTGGCTACCTGTGGTACTAAAACGAGTCTCAAACAGTTCGGCTAAAAGCCTGAGCCTCTAAAGACAGGATCTGTGATGAATTTACACCTCCATGCATCAAGCTTGAGGACAGGGGATGGACAGAAAAAAAACACATACAACAAGCTGATCCACTAAGTTACACGAGCATGGCTAAGTTAGTCCTGCTTAGTGAAGTCCAGACCTTTGGTAACGCTCAAAGCAGTCCTTCATCCTCCTCTGCTCCTTTTCTGCCAGTTCCTCATTGGCTAAAACACACTCCTTGAGCTGGAAAAAATCCAAACAAAGATGAACTGAAGCCCCCTGAAGATCAGGTCAGTGTCAGCACCAGGCAGTGCAAACCTGGTCCACAAAGGTCCCAAGGCTGAGGTGCTGCTGCCGGTCCTTGCAGGGTGAAGGGCTGCAGCCCACCCAAAGGAGCCTGGTCATTTCTGCTCTACCACTTGTTTGTGCAATTAATCATTTTACATTTAATGAAGGAGAAAAAAAATGGGAACCTTTGCTGTCAGATGACCAAGAAGAGCTGTTCACTACCAAACCCCTCCTCGAGGAGGGCAGTCCACTGCACACAGCTTCCTGCCTCTGCTTGGTCCTGCAGAACGAAGTACAGCCTGTTCATTTCTGGGCTGTCCACTACTGTGTGTGCTGGCTGGCAATAGCTCTGTTTCACTGTCTTTATTCTCTCCCATTTGTAAGTTTGGGATTCTGTTTCCTGTACCAACAGTAATACTGTGGGCAATTAAACTGGAAAACATCCACACCCAGAGATGAAGGCCAGAAAGTTATCAGGAGTTTCTAGACACAGATGGAGAAATAACCACCATAAGTGTTTTGCTGTTCAGAGCTCACCAGAAAGGTGAGGGTGAATTTTGCACAAAGTGCTCAGGCTTTGGGAAAGCAGTTTCTACTTCTCAAACCTGGTAAATGCATCATTAACAAGAACAGTAAAGATCACAAACCCCAGTTGTAGTAAAGAAGAGCCCACAAAGGTTCTCTTACACTTGGTGACTTTGGAGGCAGGCTGCTCTCTTGAGTGCTAAATTGCTGGGTTTGTCCTTCAGGGCAACCTTCTAAGGGATGGAAAAATCACAGGTTTAGTCACAGTTGCCATTATGAAGCAACTTCTCCCTCCACCAGTTCATCAAACAGCTGTAATGCTGTAACAGCAGAACTGAAACCAAGCTGCAAAACGTCAGGATTCAGACACTTCTCATTTCACTTGAACCCTCAGTCTTGCTCAGGATGATGGAGTTCCCCACCAGGTTCAGAAAGGGACAACAGCTTTCTGGTTTCTGTGTATGCAGGAGCAAAATGAACCTTTGCAAAGCAGCACCTCTGCTTAGCATCACCAAGAAATAATCGTATTAGACATCACCACAAGAACCATGTTCATCATTATTTTAACCATAACTTGTCCCCGTTCCCCAAGAACTCAGTTGTGTGTATCAAGGCACTCCACATCAGACCAGATCCTAGTGAAACGCCTGATGGAATGATCAGGTATCCTGATACATGATTTTGAACCGAGTGAGATAGAACAGTAAAAGGCTTTCTGGATCTGTTATTTGGCTTTTGCAAAAAATCTCCCATCTCAATGAATGAAAGGATCATTTAGGTCTCAAGGGAGAGCAAAAAGAAAGCTGCTTTTACTGTGGCAGTTTCCTTCCTTGCCCAACATGTTTTGAAAGAGATTTTCAAGTTCTTAGAGGAGCCTATTAACTCCTTTCCACACTGCTGAATCATTTCCACTGGGGATGCCACAGAAACAGAGCCAGTGACAGCATTAACTACATGGTTCTGCTTTTGTGAAAATAGCCGGCAACACAAAAGGGAAGAGGGGAGGGAAAAATTCCTGGAGAATGCCACATGGTCCAGCAGAAGCGGAAGGAGGTTTGTTCTGTTCTCAGCTCTGCCACAACCGCGAGAGGACTGGGGGAGGGAAGGCACCCAGGAGCTATTTCTCAAAGGCACCAGGTGATTTTCCTGGACAATTGCAATAGGCAGATTACTTCAAAAAGAAAGACTGGAGGTGCTAGGATGGTCTATCTAATGATACTGCTTTTCCCAGGTCGTTCAGCTGTAGCAAAGACCGTTTTAGAGACCATGTAATAAAAAGACAGGCTGTGGAGCTTTTTCTCTCAAAAGAGCTTTACAAACATCTACCGTTCTCAGTGTTCTCCTTTTGATAGGTGAGAAGGGTGGTGGTACAGCAGGATGCCTTGATTTGTGAGCACCTATTCTGAGCCATCTCACGGAGGTCTTACTCAGAGTGCCAAGCACACCCCAATGAGAAGCATCCCTCACAAACCAAGTCCCCAGTCAGATTACCTACTCCTCACTAAAAATAAAATCCAGGAATGGTTTTTCCTGACCCTCTGAAACACAGGACCACCCTCTCAAGAATTCTACTCTATGTTTCCCCAGAAAAAGCCTTACTTTTAGTTGGTTGTGTATCTTCATCTAGGTGACCGTGAAGAGTAAGCTGTGGGACAGAAAGCAAGAGCATAAGAACTACCCCTTTTTCTATCTCACACTGTAGCTAGGAACAGATGGAGGAATGTAAGAAACAGGACACACGTAAAACTGACCTTTCCCCAGTGCATCTTACTGTCAGCAACACAGCACACTGAGCGAGAAGTCACAGATCTACTTATGGATTTATCCTCCACGAATAAATCTCATTCCTTTGGCCTTATTGACACTTTTGGCCTCCAGAACCATCCCAGAAGTAAAAGGTAAACAAGGCACTGTACTCACTTCCTGGGAATCTCTGGAGGAGGTATCATCCAGGTCAGAGGTCTGCAATAAAACCAGTGTAAATTAATCATTCCTTATAAGCAAGGAAGTGGCAGTAAGAGAATATACAGATCAGAAGCTCCAGAAAACAGAGAAGTGTGAACTTCCTCCCTCCTACACTCCTGTCTGATCACATGGAGACAGAACACAAGCTACCTCACTAATTAAACCCCCTGCATCTCTCTTTTAGTTCCAGAAACCTTACACCTTACACCCTGTTCCCAAATTCATCCAGACGGCTCATACACAGTCAATTTCTAAATAGACTTCACTCTTTGGTGGTCACTCATTATCTTTGGACATGCTCCTAACACAGAAAGCCTCAGCTTGCATGAGTCCAGCTTACCCATGCAGGAGGTAATAGGAGCCATCATGTCTTTATTCTAAACTCAACATTTGTGTGGAAATGGTTACCCACCCAGCTGAATCTGAACTGGTCAGGGGCAAAGAGCTCCAAGCAGCCACACTCTGTCCTCACCCTCCCCTTCCCACCCCATCATACAGATGACAACCCCCCAGGCATACCGGTGCAGGCAGCTCCAGCTGCAGCCTTTTCAGCTTGGCTTCAGTCGCCAGTAACTGGGTCTCTTTTTGGAAGAGCTGCAGCTGCATTTCATCACAGCGCTCGCCCAGCTCCCGGATCTGCTTGCGGTACGTGTCCCTCTCGACCAGGTTCTTGGAGTACTGCACATAGAACTGTTCTCGGGTCAGGAGTGCCTGGTGTAAGGGACAATTTGTCATGGCATGTCACATGGGTACATTCAGGGTTACATTATCTGCTCGCTTCAAGCAGCAAAGCAGGGATTAGCAGCAGCTCCAAGAGGAATGGATGCTTTATCACCTGGTCTCTTTCTGAAGCCACTTCCTCCATCTGCTTCAAGACAGCTTCAATCCTTTTTTTGTACATCTGGGAGTCCTTCTTCAGGGATGTGCATTGGAGTTCAAGCATCTCCTTTTCCTCTGCGTACTGTTAAGACAAGGTCATGAGCACCCTGCTTGTGGGCAGGGCCTGAGCTAGACTCTCCCCACTCCTGCTCTGTGCCACCGATTGCTGTGGCCAGACCTCCTCCATGCCATGTCAAAGT